TATTTGGATCGAGATTATCCAAAGAAAATTGCTGTTTAGAAAACCTTACATGACTAAAATGATAATAATAGTAGCGAAATACCTGACAACCCGGAGGAGAAGCTTGTCTTCTTGCGTTGTCTTCTTGGCGTTGTCTTCTCAGTGTCTTCAATGCCTGTTGACTTGCTCGGTTACAAACAACTGAAAAAACACAACGTTTTAATGAAATTCACTCTTACACCAAATACCATCTGCTACCTATACAAGAGTGTTGAGAAATGGGGTAATAGGTTATTTTTTTATAATAAAACACGAATTTGCGATTTCAAACGTAGATACTTGAAAAATATTTAAAATTGCTAGTTTGGAGAAAGAAGGAGCGAAATGGGCTCGATATCCTGAGTTTTTGATTAAAAACTTTAACTGAAACTAGTTGCGAAAATGAAGCACACAAACAAAATGAGTACCTGTGAATGATTTTCAATCTAAAATGTCCACTTATCTACTTTGTCCACCTTGCAATGATTGAATTCGCTACTCCTTGCATAATTAGTTCCCTTGCAGGTACAGTTGAATTTTGAAAACAATCACTCATTACAAGAAATCGTCAAGGATCGCATGCAGGATTTGAAGCTCTGTCTTCTTGGCCTAAAAATTGTCCTAAGTTCCGATTAGTTATACATTTTGTATAGATTTAACGCAAAAATTGCCGAGATTTGTGGCCTTTGTTTGCGGTTTTCCCAGACTTTAACACTCATTTCATTCTCAGCTGCAATATAAATAATTTTCTCGCTTAGATGGCTTGGAAGCCGTTTTTATTTATCTTTTCTGTGCAAGTAAATGAAAACGCCATTTTTGTCCTCACTAAGTTGATAGATTAATTTCCTACGTCAATATATCAAACTGAACCACTGAAGTTGTTTTTGACACATTTTGTCACGACAGCTTCGTAAAGCCACAAATTAATAAACGGGAAACCCTATACTGGCATAGAAGTCTTATTGAAAAAACGAAAAGAGCACAAAATACAAATCAGAATTAATCGAAAATAGATATAAACACTTAAGACGATAAAGATATCTGACAACAGTTTAATTCAGATCAGAGCTGGTTGAGGTAAGGACGAACAACTGGGCATACGCGGCAATCAGTACATTAAACATGGCCTTTTTACGCTGAAAACATCTGCTGCGCAATATCGTGTTTTCCCCTGCAAGCAAAGTCGAATAGGAATACTGTACGTGACCAAAGAAAGGAAGTAGGGCAAATCTAAAAGTAATCGCATTACCTTTACAGACGTCGCCGGACTAAACTGAGCAGCGAAATTTTTTTGCTAGCAGTTCAAACCAAAGTCCGCTTTTTCCTTGATTGTATTCAAGGGCTTTCTACCGAGAACACATTGAAAATACAAGAATTTCTACTCGTACTTCGCTTCATACCTCTTTCCACTTCCCAGACATCCAGAAAAAAAGACTAGAGAGACCGTTTAAGGTTCTTGTTTAGCCTCTTAATTAGGACAAAATTGAATTCAAACAGGGTAGGTTTTAAGTCGGTATTTGTACTTACTTTAACACCGAGGTCCATTCAGATGGAAGTGCGGCTGTGCGCTATCAGAATAACAACAGCTCATGTAGTTAACTTGCAGCCAAATTATCATGAGTAAAAAGCAGGAGTGTGTCACGTGAACATTAGCCATGAATACGTGGGTGCAAGTTGTCCTTAAGTTTGCTTAAAGCATTGTGTAAGATGTGGGTGAAAAAAAATGAATCCCGACTAAAACTTTAAATTAAAAGAAGGACCGAGAAAGTAAAAGTTGCAATTATAGTTTCCCTGAGGGGACTGAAGATCAGGCCTAAATAAAGTTCTCGCCTGACTGTCGAAAAATGAATAACTATCCCCTAAAATGAATGCAGCTATTATCATGCAGGTAAGATTAGACTGGTTCCATTTAATTCAGGATTAATTGTCCCTTTAGAGTCTAAAACAATTACCCAGTTCGTCACTGATCTTTTTCATTCAAATTTTGAGTCATCGAAATATGCTCTCATAAAAGTGAAATTGAAATTGACTATATATTGATTGATTTGAAATTTTATTATGACTTCTTCCCGAGTTTTCAAGTCGTCTATCTAAGAATAGCCAGTCGTGGGAGCAAACTGCGCGGGCCACCTTAACCTTTTCTAGTCGAGTCTGAAAATACGTCTTTACATGGGGAAAAGCTAATTTATGGGCATAGTCATTTTCCTATGTGTTAAATAACCATTGAATGCTCCTCACATGACACAGAAAAAGATAAGAATATCCTGAGGATATATGAACTCAGGTCCCCAAAGAAGTGCTACCGACACCTGCCTTTCTCCCCCCTTATATCCGCTTCAGCGTTGGTTATCAACATCAGGTTTATTTAATTTGCTATTTATCTGCTGGACTTGGATCTTTCCCTTTGCCATAAATAATCACCAGAAATAGTTATGGCAAAGGGTAACTCATTAGTAACATCAATGGAGAACCTTCGGAACCAGTTTGTTAATCTACTGCTAAGTGAACATAGATCTTGCATTAAACACACCGACGATAGGACCGACTTTTATCTTTCCACCGCATCTCATTAAACAAACGCTTGATAACACCTGGGCAGTTCATAGCCTTTTATAAAGCGTGGAAATTGGTATCCTGTTTCAAAGAACATAATATCTTTTGCAGAAACAGAATGACGACGTCGCCTAAAGGTGCAATCATTTGGATCTTTCATTTTAAATTTCTAGAAGACTTCCTTTTTAAACGGAAGTTTTTCGAGTTGTACAGGACTGGCATAGTAGCTGGATGGAACTACTCCAGAATTTTCGTCACGATAAAATAATGTCCCACTATTTTTTCTCTTGGTATCGTGTATACAATCACGCGTAGACTTTGACTTACAGGAAGTAACAGGCATCAGAAATGTCGAGGGTCTGTCAATATTATCAACACAGAAGGAATAATCGTGTATCTCACGATGGGCCTTATATTCCATCCATTCTGTTTACCAAATATTTCACCCAAGCCATAAAAACGGAATAAAACAATTTAACAGTTGGAAACATCTTAAATGTTCTTGTGGCACGGCGATAACTTCTCCTTGTTAGGTATTCTCTTCCGCATAGCTAGTATAGAGAAATTGTACGATAACAGAAAAAATGCCAAAAATTGCAATCTAAAGCAAGTACAAGATGTCATCTAATTCAGTTCAACTTTAGAGCAAACTAAGGAAGTGTATTCGAAAGATGAACGTTTGGAGATCAAACAATTTCAAAAACACACATTCGAAACTACCACGTTTTTCTACACATCTCCTCTTGGGAAAAAATTTTTAAGGAATGTTACACTGCCTCCCAAGTATCGGAGCCAGAGTCGAAAACTCCGCAAGCCCAGGATAAAAATTTGTTCGGCAAAACATTCAAGCGGATTTGTCATTCATTCATGCGGATTTGTCACAAATGTCATGCAAATGACAAAAGTTTTGCGCTCAGCACATCACTATGCTGCAAAGCCACATTGTTTTGAAGTTTTACAGCCTCTATTCCTGTGAATGATGGCAAGCCACTGCTGCTTCTGCGCACAAAGGTGGGCTCCTTATTGGTTAGAATGTTCAATGGAAAACTGTCGACTAAAATACCATGCAGCATGAGACAAAGTTGAAATGGAATCAGTAGCTATAAAATCTTCCAGTTTATCTCTAATTGTTCTCAAAATTCCAAATAATATGGAATATCTTATCAATCTCTAACCAATTTCGCATCGCAACCAGTACTTCATATGACAAGTAAGGTCGAGTAATATAGTTTTGTAAAGGCCCCAATTCGACCAATGTTTCTCGTTATTTTATTTACTTTTCTTCTTCACACGTTTGTTTCGCGGCAATTCTGTTCTTCTTCGTCATTGCACACATCATGTATTTCTTTGCTATCCATGTGGGCATCTGGCATTGGTACGGGGCTACGCACACTCTTGACTGAAGTATATTTTGTTGAGGTCTGAGATCTTGTAGATTTAGAGTAACGAGAGTTGGAATGCTGATCTCTCTTCAAAACTTTACAAAGGGCCTCACGCAATGTTTCGCTTAAGGTCAAGCACAACCATGGATTTATGGCACTGTTAGCGTGTCCCAACCAGTTGAATAAATACTGCACATAGCGAGGAAGTAGAACATAATGAACATCAGGAAAGAATCCAAGAGCCGCGACACTATAGACTTGTGATGGAAGCCAACAGATGGCGAATACAGCGGTGATTATCATAAGCATGCGCACAACCTTTTGTTTGGTCGCCTCGTTTCGTTGTTTCGTTTCTGGAATATCGAATCCTGGAATATTTCTCTTGCGCAGCCGGCGACAAACCGAGAAATATAGCGTGGATATCACAAGTAGTGGAATCAAGTACATAAGAAAAAACAAATACAGGTAATAAAAGATCATCTTGAAGTTTTTCCCAGGAGACTGGAACAAGGGCGCACAGTAAAACGTGCCGTTTGGACGATATTGAACATTTTTCCATGTCACAGCAACGGGGATCGAGGTAATCGTTGCACTCAACCAAATTCCCACGGAAAGGATTCGCCCTCGACGAAATTTTGGGAAACGATCGAGAGGAAAAGTAACTCCCAAGTAGCGATCCACTGACATTAACAATAGACTACCGATGGACGCCGCCAGTGAGGTGAAGTTTAAGTACCTCACACCTGCACATGTGACAAGGCCTAGGTCTCCAGGGAACCATTTCCCCAGAGTAAAGACAAATGACATGGACTCGGGCATCACAGCTAAGGTCACGAAGATATCAGCGACGGCCATGTTAACGAACAAAACCCGTGTGAGGGACCTTGCTTGAGGTCTCCACTTGACGATGAATATCAGGAGGAAATTTCCACTCAGAGCGACTAGTATCGTTATGGAATACAGAAAAACAAAGCCGGCTTGCTGTGGAGTGCCGAAAGAGGATGAGTTGTTTCTCTCAAACTCACCTGCAAAGTAATACGAATCATTAGAAATTTCGACAAGGTATTCAAAGTGTCACCAACCCCCCAGATTTTTTATCATAAAATAAATCTTCTTGTTTTCGTGATAAAAAAAAGTCGAAAATATTTTAATTGTGCTGCCTTTGTAATAATTACTGCAAACGGGTAGACTTTCTAGTCTTCTCGGATAGGGACGATAAATGGAGGTCCCGTCTCACAAGCCCTTATATGTGATTTTAATTTGTGGGACGTTAAAGAACCCACACACTCCTCGAAAAGAGTAGGGCTCGTAGTGCCCGGCGATGTGGTCTACCTTTATATTCCCAATCGAGAAATTGTAGGAATGAGGCGGGTTGGGTCGCTACTTCACCCCGGGAGGTGATTCGACGTATACAACTAATATATACGTCGAATTATATAACTATTAATATAACTAATGGGAAAGGAAGCGCTGCAACCTAACAAAAAAAAAAATACCTAATTAAGCCCGGATGGTGTTTTTTTGGAGGATGTAACAATACACCCTCCTCAGAAGATAGTCTCGGCCTTTACATTATCCCATTGAACGAGGACAACCGCCCTGAAGCGAAGAAACGCATAATAGGTGTGACTCTCAAGTTGGTTGGTTTTGAATGTGCCACTTCCCCATCGCTATTCTTTTGTGTGCTATTTTTGTCAACTTTCACTCCCAGGGTAATCATTGACTTTAGAGATATATTTCTCTCCCAGTCCTCAGGCTGGAAGCCTCGGGAGCGAGCGTTGAGGTTGCATTACACGGTTATGTAGGTTTAAGAGGCCGTACTGGCTTGGAGTCGGGCGATGCCCACCTTTACGCGAAAACACTTTTTTTGGCAGGTATTTGAGTTAGGCCTGTGCTTAGTATCTTACCGTTTCTTACTGATATTGGTGAATTCACAGCAGTTGTAGGGGTTTCCATCTTCAGCGTCTGAAAGGTAGAGCAAAGCAAACATAAGAATCCATAACAGTTTTCGGCCGACAGGAGGGGTGTGCATACTGCACGGGATGATTTGTGGTATGCTGTCACGGTCACTGCAGCATACATGAAAATAGGTAGGAACTAGAGGTTGTAAAATGATGCTCGAAGGGAGTGTCGCAGTAGGTTTGTCTCACGTACAAAACAGAAAACGTACCGCATCCCACATATTAATGACTATTCTGTTCCACGAGAGAAAGATGATTTAAAAATATAGTGAATAATTAACAATCAACCAATAATTATATGGCAACAAATAATCATATTACAAACGAGAATAATAGTTATGATAACAATCGTAATAGTTCTGACAACTTTTAGGGGCTAGCTGAAGAACCTTATTGTCTCTTTATTGATCTATCCTCTAAGCTCCAATAATGATCAAACAGAGTCTGTGCTCCTTTCAATTTTACCTTTCATTATAAATTATTTTCTTATTTCATTGTAATTGCATCCACAGAAGACAGTGGCCATGAAAAACGGCCAATTAATTTTAAGTGGCAATACCTTGATGCGCTATACCGACATTGAGTTATTATTTCCCTGTGTGTATGGCTACTAATAACCGAGATGTAACAAAAGACTATTGGGATTTGAAGGCAGAGCAAGCGAGATTTGTACTCAAAGAACCATCAATAAAAAAAGGTTAACCCTAAATAAAAGTATCTCAATAGCCTTAATGTGGCTTTTTTTTTTTTACCCTGAGAGACCAATCATTCTCGGGAAGGGGCTGTGACATTTATCGAACCGACAACAAAAAAGCCAAATGATTATTGAAACAGAACTGAACCTTTGGTTTAACAACGCCGTTGTCATTTGAAACGGTTCAAACTCCCATACAAAGCTTCAAGTTTAGAACATATATCTTCTCTTAGAGAGCTTGGGTCTCCTGTGATTTTATTTTCCGGCGAGCCTTTAAATATCTTGTTAACGTAATTGAATATTATCCGTATTAACCGAAGACAAAGTTTTAATTATATTTTGTCGAATATAAAAAATAACTCGTCACTCTACGGAATTAGCATTCCTTGCAATTTCAATCCTATTTTGTTGGCTTTCTTCGGCTGAAACGGTTTTAAATTAACCCTCTATTGTGAATATTACGCATATGAAACTCCCTGTTAACAAAAGGTTCTATCATATTTCGGACGGTCACGCCCACTGAAAGCCCTCTCACTTAAAATTAAAATTTGATTTTTTTGTGCTTACTGTGATTTTCCAGAACATTTTCACAATTGGTTACCACTGCTTTATTACACTTTCATGTTTATTGCATCAAAATCAACCGTTATATGGAAAATACTGCCGTTATATGGAAAATACTGCTTCTCAAAATGGATACTACGAAAATATAATTAGACTGAAAGACAAACTGGACACTCCTTTTAATTTCGATTTAAGGTATTTCATCAAAATTTAATGATCTCTCGATAGGAGGGAGATTTTTTCTCCGGGATTATTCAACAGTCTTGTCTATCAACAGCCTCTCTGTAGATATATTAACAGCAACCTACTTCCACGAGTTAAAGTCCTCGTTAACGACATAGTACTTCAGGTCTTTTTTCGATAAACTTATCCCCATTTACAAGTGGTAGTATGACTTCATGTGTATTTTAACGATTGTTAAATTGATGATTAGAACTTCAGCTTTTTTTTTTTTGATGTCTCCTTCTTTGTTTCAGCTTGACCTTTAACGTTGCAAAGGGATGATCGTTCTAGCTCAAAGTTCTTCTCACTTTATATCACAACTTACTCGTAAGTGTCTATCTCCCTGCATGATATCTAATACCCCACTGGCCATGACCCACGAAATATTCGGCATGTGATGTGGTCAGAATATGTTGTTGTATTTGTTGTTGTCGTTGGATAATCAGGAAGCCGTGAACACATAATAATAATAATCATGCACGCCACACACTTCTTCATAGCCAGAAAGAGCAATAAGTCCTGACTAAAATGCAATTCAAACTTCAACCTTTCAGAGGTGATAAACAATATTTGAGTTGATAAACAGACGTGACCTGTTCTGAATCGCATGCTTGATTTACATTTGACTTCGCGTGTCGAGACCAAAAGAACAAGAAACAAAAAGTAAACATTCCTACCTTAGAGTTGTCCCGTTTTCTCCAAATAACTTGTAAGCTTAACAGAAATCGTTTACATTTGCATGAATGACTGGCTGGCCAGACAGAAAAACATAGGGGATGGAGTTTGCTTTTAACAGTCTTATTATCTGGAAGCAATCAGCATTCCCGTAATTGAAAGACAATATACGAACTCACAGCTTAAGTTCTTATGTTCCGAAAAAATTCTGAATTTCGACCTATCCCAACTGATTGTCCTTCTATGTGCTTTTACTTTTTGCAAAAGAACAAGAAATAGAAAGTAAACCTTCCTACCTTAGAGTTGTCCCGTTTTCTCCAAATAACTTGTAAGCTTAACAGAAATCGTTTACATTTGCATGAATGACTGGCTGGCCAGACAGAAAAACATAGGGGATGGAGTTTGCTTTTAACATTCTTATTATCTGGAAGCAATCAGCATTCCCGTAATTGAAAGACAATATACGAACTCGCAGCCGCATGTTTTTATGTTCCGACAAAATTCCGAATTGCGACATATCCCAACTGATTGTCCGTCTCTGCCCTTTTACTTTTTCACTTTTCCTAGGTAATAAACATTCATGCTTGCTGTCACAGACACCAAAGGCTTAAAAAAAAATAAAAAAACTTATAATTCTGATCTCTCAAGCAGGAACTCGCGAGCGCTGTCCAAAAATAGCTACTTTGATTAAAAAAGATGTCTGTTATCGCAAAAGATGACAGAATTTTTTAACAAGGTGTACGTTGAAGTCTTAAATGTGATAGCTTTCCTAAATGTAATAAAGTCCTAAATGTAATAAGCCTCCAATGCAATAGTTTAAGTGCGCTTGTGCATCCGCATTGACAACTGTTGCATCAGAGAATCCTCTGACCAAAACTCATGGCATATTTCGGGCTCGCTCGCTGATTTTCATCAGCGTGGTTTTGGCTTGAGACTTGAGCCGAGAAGTTCCGGCTACAAACCCTTATACTGATGTGCTTTTGGCTTCAAATTGACAGATGTCAAAACAATAGAACTATGACCAATCCAGCCATCTTACAAGAGATTTTAAATTTTCGGCAGGTCATTTTTCACAGAAAAAAAACTGCGTTTTCTTTTCAGTTATCATGGATAACGGAAAATAGTTTCTTTTTTTCACGTACCACGACTGGCATATCGTTCACAGTTCATGGCTTTTAACTTTTTACAATCACGAGTCACGGTGATTAAAAACAGCCGATCACGTTTCACGGAAAACCCCTTATCACCCCTCGATTCTCGATATTTATGCTCATTTCAGTAGAAATGGAGACAAGACGCACGAGACGAAATTATTTGTCTGGCCATTTGCTCATGCAGATTTAAAACACAAAAACCTGCGACTAATTTTTAAAGAACCATAGCATGAAAACTAAAAAATTCTCAAGCTTGGGATCCTAAAGGAATTTATGAAAAGACAAATCCGAATTTGCGGAAACATTGTATCAGTTAGAAATGAACGATGCAGTTAATTTATTATTACTTCTGGTGTTGTTTACCCATTCAGACTGGCAATAATCTATGAAGTATGAAAGAACTGAAGCGGAAACTGGCAAAGAGAATTTACATAAAAATTCAACAAGGCCAAAACCTGGGAATGAAACTCGTTTATCGACAGCAGATAAAGGCATATTCTTTGAATTTTCTTTGCATTTTCTTCTAAATATATAGGACATTGTATTTTAATTTCTCCTTAGCTTCTTCCAAAATATACCACAGGCTGTGGTGGAAATTATGTTGGAAGAAATCGAAAGTGATGAGTTTCAATGTTGATAACACTGGCTTAAGTGTTCACTTCACTGGCTTAAGTGTTCCAAATCCTACAAGCTCTGATGAAGACTGGTACGTAGGTCACGTGAGAATGCACCAAGTACGATGACACCCTGCCGTCGGCTTATCAGGTAGGAGCTAAACCATCTTAGTAAGTTTCCCCCGAAAGCCGCTTCTTGGAGCTTGTGCAATATAAGGTCGTGTCCAACCTTTTCGAACGCCTTAGACATGTCGAGGTAAACAACAATTTACAACAATTTATCACTTATAGAGCGCTATTTACAATGACAGATCAACAGCGCTTTTCAATCAATCCTAACACGCCCATCCCACCCCAGGGGATGACATCCATCACACAGTAATCTCATGCGTGGGAAATTAACGTCTCCTACCCCTAACCCTGTAGGGAGACGGGACCTCCATTTATTCGTCCCTATCTGAGAAGACTAGAATATCTAACCATTTCTTGATGTTATAGAAAGGTAGCATATTCTTCTCAATTATTTTAAGACCTTGAGTGTTGGTCCGGCCGGGGCTCGAGCCCTCGACCTCCCTCACAACAGTCCAGCACTCTATCCATTGAGCTAACCGGGAGGCGGTTAGGCGGTAAACAGAGTCTATCTGACGTCCCCTATTCAAAAGTGAGCCAATGGTGTCCAGCGATTCGAGCAAGTTGGTTATACGTGATTTGCCACTTTGGAATCCATATTGCCTGGCAGATATAATTCGGATAGTTGCTCCTTGATACTGTTAAGGACGCAACGTTCCATAACTTTGGAAACGATAGAGAGTAAAGAGATAGGGTGGTAGTTTTCGATGTATGCCTTTTAATTCTTTTTGTGGACAGGTATTATGTTTGCCAGCTTCCACTCACTTGGAATGTTACCCTCACTTAGAGATCTATTAAACAACACGGTTAAAGACGGAGCGATAACAGGAGCGGTCTCTTTGAGTAGCCTGGCAGGAATCTCATCGGGACCGGTAGCTTTTTCAGGTTTTAGTGCTTCAAGAATTGATTGAACTTCTTGAACAGACAGAGAAATGTCCGAAATAAGGGAGTTTGACAAAGAGTCCTCTGTGAGCAGGATTTGATTTGTATTTGTATTGCCTACAAAGACCGATATGAAGTATTTATTAAACACCTCTGATATATCTCTAGGGGTGTCAGCAGTTGATCTTGTATTGTCTGTTTCCATGGAGACCAGGTTTGGGACGCTCCGCGTCCTGGAGTTTATGTTAAGAACTGACCAAAGGCATTTAGGATTGGATTTGAAGTCAATGTTCGCAGTCTCAAAGAATCTTTCTCTACGCCTTTGTCATTTGAAACAGTTCAAACTCCCATACACAGCTTCAGGTTTAGATCTCATAGAGAGCTTGGGCCTCCTGTGATTTTATTTTTCGGCGAGCCTTTAAATATCTTGTTAACGTAATTGAATATTATCCGTATTAACCGAAGACAAAGTTTTAATTATTTTCTGTCGAATAAAAAGAATAACTCGCCACCCTGCGGAATTAGCATTCCTTGCAATTTCAATCCTATTTTGTTTGCTTTCTTCGGCTCAAACCGTTTTAAAATAACCCTCTATTAAGAAAACTGCGATAACAGCCACCGTTATATAGAAAATACTGCCATTATATGGAAAATACAGCTTCTCAAAAAGGGATGTCTCCAAAGCACAAAGAGACTGAAAGACAAACTGGACACTCCTCTCAATTTCGATTTAGGTATTTCATCAAAATTTAATTATCTCTCGATAAGAGGCCTGGGGAGATTTTTCTGA